AATATTTTCATAGAAATTTTATCATTCCTATTTAAAGTTAAATGTGATCCAAAAGCGCTTTCCTGGCAGTTTTCTTTTTGCATTTCATTTCCACCTGACCTCACTCACCTACATTCCTCCCCACGGACCCTGTACCCCAGCCATGCGTATATATCCTTGCCAATTCAGGATTATACTTTCATACCCTCCAACATTACTCAGATGAAAATAGTGACATTTTTCACTCCCCCGCTGAGCATTTCCATCCCCTTGCTTTCTGCCTGCACCTCTTTTGCCTATTGATGTGTATTAGTTTTTCCAGTTTTTTTAATGAATCAATGCCAAGCTACATCATATTACATCAAATTTAATACAAGAAGTTGACTTTTCTCTCTTCGTCCTAGACACGTTACTGGTTTTTCCCCATTACAGCTTAGTATTGCACATTTATCCCTGATTCACGATCCATTCCTTATGTTCAACTCCCATTATCCATCAACTGTTGATTTATCCATTCCTACTTGTATATTTTGGGACACGGGTGGCACTATGGGTTAAACCACAGGGCCTAGGACTTGCCGATCAGAAAGTCGGCGGTTTGAATCCCCGCGATGGGGTGAGCTCCCGTTGCTCAGTCTCTGCTCCTGCCAACCTAGCAGTTCGAAAGCACGTCAAAGTGCAAGTAGTTAAATAGGTACCGCTCCGGCGGGAAGGTAAACGGCGTTTCCGTGTGCTGCTCTGGTTTGCCAGAAGCGGCTTAGTCATGCTGGCCACATGACCCGGAAGCCATACGGCGGCTCCCTTGGCCAATAAAGCGAGATGAGCACCACAACCCCAGAGTCAGCCATGACTGAACCTAATGGTCAGGCGTCCCTTTACCTTTACTTGTATATTTACCAAACAATATTGTATACCCTTATACAACCCCTTGCCTATCTGTTCAAAATCATTGCTTATTATTTCTATGTTAATTTCCCTTTCCTATCTTCTTATCATCTTGCGTGTGCAGCTTTAAAAAAAAAGAAAAAGTTGACTTTTCGCTCTTCATCCTAGATATATCTCAGGTCCCCCCCCCTTTGCTTCTTGATATGGCATCTATAATTCACATGGCATCTATAATGGCATCTGTAATTCACAATCCATTCCTTGTGTTCAATTCCTGTTTCCCATCAGCTGTTGTTTTACCGATATATCATATACCGTTAAAGAGCAAAAGAGGTTACACATTTCCTTGCCTATCTATTTTAAATCACTTAGATTTCTGCCCACACCTAAGAGGCCCGTCAGCCTTTCCTCCTCATTGCCCTCTTCTATGAGGTCACATAAAAAGGCAATTCTCACTTTGCCACTTCTGTTTATATGGAATCTCTCCCGACGAAGACGTGCAAAAGCTCCATCATCTGCAAACTGGCTCTCAGTGAGCATGCTTAAAAGGATGCCCGCGAGTCTCTTAACTTCAGACATTCAAGATGCATTGCGAGCTATTAATTAAGAATAAGTTTTCTATTTAAGTTTCTGTGATTGGAAGGAGTCGGCTAAAGATCGGGTTAAGAACTTAATTCGTTCCGGAGGTCCGTTCTTAAACCTGAAACTGTTCTTAACCTCAAGCACCACTTTAGCTAATGGGGCCTCCCGCTGCCACTGCACCGCTGGAACACGATTTCTGTTCTCACCCTGAAGCAATAGTACCTCAAGGTACTATTTCTGGGTTAGCAGAGTCTGTAACCTGAAGCGTATGTAACCCGAGGTACCACTGTACGTGGAAAATATGGCTCTTGAAGCTGCTTACAGTGTTTGGTGGTCCTCGTTTCTTTGATTAGGTCTGTTGGGTTTTCCCCCAGTTGTAAGTGTAGCATGCCACTCCCCCATCTGTAGACCATGATGTGACCAAGAAGAGGACAAAATCTGCCTCGGAAACAGAGCTGCTTCTAATGTTAATTGCATAAAACCACAATGTAATCTTTGGGGACGCAGGTGGCGCTGTGGGTAAAACCTCAGCGCCTAGGACTTGCCGATCGCATGGTCGGCGGTTCAAATCCCCACGGCGGGGTGAGCTCCCGTCCTTCGGTCCCAGCTCCTGCCCACCTAGCAGTTCAAAAGCACCCTTAAGTGCAAGTAGATAAATAGGGACCGCTTTACAGCAGGAAGGTAAACGGCGTTTCCGTGTGCTGCTCTGGTGCCGGTTCGCCGGAGCAGCTTCGTCACCTTGGCCACGTGACCCGGAAGTGTCTGCGGACAGCGCTGGCCCCCGGCCTCTAGAGTGAGATGAGCGCACAACCCTAGAGTCTGTCAAGACCGGCCCGTACGGGCAGGGGTACCTTTACCTTTACCTTACAATGTAATCTAATATCAGTACAGCACTGTATTCTTCTGCTTCAGTTGTTGGATGTCTTAAAGGGGGGAGAAGGGAGAGCTCAATGCCTTTCTTTCTTTCTTTCTTTCCAGAATGCATTTTTCTTCATCCAGAATCAACGCAGTGTGTTGTGTTGGATGTTGTAGAGAGTTCTTCAGATGTAATTGACCTCCTCCTTTGTGCTGACAGAAGAAAGCCTTTCAAAAATATTTCTCTCCTAAAGCGTGATATGGCACACACATTTCCCATTTTGTTTTCCATTTTGTCTAATTATAAGACCGTATGCTTGAAAGCTGAACCGCAAAGCAGAATACCTACTGAATTTCTCTTATCCTGGAGCCCCACCCTGCTCTCTCCAAGCTCTCCTCCCAAAAAAATAGTAGTTTATGCAGCCTTAAAATTTAGTAGCCAGTGGTACCTCGGGTTAAGTACTTAATTCGTTCCGGAGGTCCGTTCTTAACCTGAAACTGTTCTTAACCTGAAGCACCACTTTAGCTAATGGGGCCTCCTGCTGCTGCTGTGCCGCCGGAGCACGATTTCTGTTCTCATCCTGAAGCAAAGTTCTTAACCTGAGGTAATATTTCTGGGTTAGCGGAGTCTGTAACCTGAAGTGTATGTAACCTGAAGCGTATGTAACCCAAGGTACCACTGTAATTGACATTATTATTTATAACTACATTTTCAATGAAGAACATGCCACCCAACATTTGATGAATGGGCAGGAGAGGAAGCAAAGGGCAAAAGCTGAATATGTTCATTTCTCCAAGGTGGTGGTCTCAAGCGAAGAGTCCAAGATAACAATAAGAATAAGAATAATGTTATTATTTATACCCCCACCCATCTGGCTGGGTGGTCCCAGGCACTCTAAAACAAAACATTCGTGCAGATTCTGAAATCTGCAAACGTTAAGAATTTCATATCAGTCTCCAAGCGTTTTCAACCACCTGCCAGTCAGCTCGTAACAAAAGCAGGGCTTTGCATTCCCTTCGATGAGAGGGAAATGATCTGCACACCCACATATGTTTTCTATTTCATATTCAAAACAGTTTGCTCTTATAGAATAGACACACATAAACACACCATGTGCGCATGCATGATTGTTGCTGCCGAAGCTTTGATGAGCAATCTGTCCTTGGTGCCAGCAACCCCTGATAACATGGATTCCCTTTCCCTGCCTGCCAGTTTTCCCAAGTCATTCCGATGGACATGGCCAAGCGATCCCTCGCTCCGATATTTGCATGCCGTGCTTACTTAGGTGTAAGGAAGGCTACTATTGGCTGGATTTACCAGGGGCAAAGCTTTGACTGTCACCAGCTAGGAATTCTGAAGCTCTTATTTGGCAAGAGTCTGTGGAACAAATTGAAAAAAATGATAACAATAAATGAAAAATACATTATGATGATTATTTTTTCTGACTGTATTTCAGAATTTTGAGTTACTATGTTGAAGAAGGGGATTTTGCTTAGATCAAGGAAAGAAAATTCAGTAAAATAGTGGAGGAAGCCCTTTTTCAAACCCTCGAAGGGGTGATCTGCACTCGTGGCCCCATGGACAAGAAACATGTTTTCATGTTTGTACCTTGACTTCTGGGAAGCAGGTGGCGCTGTGATCTAAACCACAGAGCCTAGGGCTTGCTAATCAGAAGGTCGGCAGTTCGAATCCCCACGACGGGGTGAGCTCCTGTTGTTTGTTCCCAGCTCCTGCCAACCTAGTAGTTCGAAAGCACATCAAAGTGCAAGTATATAAATAGGTACTGCTCTGGTGGGAAGATAAACAGCATTTCCATGCGCTGCTCTGGTTTGCCAGAAGCGGCTTAGTCATGCTGGTCACATGACCAGGAAAAACTGTCTGCGGACAAACGTCGGCTCCCTCGGCCAGTAAAGCGAGATGAGCGCCACAACCCAGAGTCGTTCACGACCGGACGTAACGGTCAGCGGTCCCTTTACCTTTACCTTGACTTCTGGTTGCAGAGGGTACATATTTTCCCAGGGGAAAGTGAATCGAGTTTGGGAAGGGTTTGTTTCTAAGAACTCAAAGAGGCACTGTGACCCATTGTTATCTCAAGACATCAAAGTGCAAGTAGATAAATAGGTACTGCTCTGGTGGGAAGATAAACAGCGTTTCCGTGCGCTGCTCTGGTTTGCCAGAAGCGGCTTAGTCATTCTGGTCACATGACCTGGAAAAACTGTCTGCGGACAAACGTCGGCTCCCTCGGCCAGTAAAGCGAGATGAGCGCCACAACCCCAGAGTCGTTCACGACCGGACCTAACGGTCAGCGGTCCCTTTACCTTTACCTTGACTTCTGGTTGCAGAGGGTACATATTTTCCCAGGGGAAAGTGAATCGAGTTTGGGAAGGGTTTGTTTCTAAGAACTCAAAGAGGCACTGTGACCCATTGTTATCTCAAGACTGGAAGAAACCTTTGTGACTCTAGGGAGGAAGTTTGAGATTTTTGCTACTTTACAGCGCAGTGACATGCATGTCTACTCAGAAGTAAGTCCCATTGAGCTCAATGGTGCTTACTCCCAGGTAAGAGTATATAGGATTGCAGAATAAGCTTCCATTCAGGAATATATTCAGCTGGGGCAGTGGTAGTGTGAACTAGTCAAATTCTGCCTTTTCTCTGAGTCGCACGTGGTTTGACCATTTTCCCTTTCATGTCTTTCCAGATTCTCCGCAGTCTGCTGCTGTTTCCAACAGTGGAACGTATGGCTGAGTCCCCACAAGGCAAGATCATGACACCCCTGCTCACCTGGTTTCGTTATCCCTTGTACATGCTTTCCTACTTCACATCGTTTCTCCCAGACAGAATAAAACACTTCGTGTTACGTTTGGCATCTGTCATACTGCACCTAGATGACGCTACACTAGCGACTACTATAGATTTTCTCAATTTCGATTCTGTTGGTAAGTAGAAACAGCGAGTAATATTCCTGTCTAGCATGCTGTTTTGAAGGATATGGATGTTAAGGGGACTATAACCTAGTGATAAGAAGTTTTTAAGGATTTGAGCGTATAGCGGTGGTTCTGGTTGTTTTCCTCAGTACAGAACTGAAGAAAACAAAAATGCCTTGTCTCCAAAAAAAGGAACAAATTGCTGTTTTAGGGAAAACTCGTGGATTTTCAGAATAGCCTTCTGAGTGCCGTTCTTTCCATGATCTGCAGCGTTTACCTAAGAAGAGCCTTGTTGGATTAGACAAAACCTCATGTAGACCTGCTTTCTGCTTTCACAGCCAAGGTCTGCCTGGATAGCTCCATAGGGTAGAGCATGGTGCTGATAAAGCTAAGGTTGCAGGTTCGATCCCCGTATGAGACAGTTGCATATCCCTGCATTGCAGGGGGTTGGACTAGATCAGGGGTCCTCAAGCTATGGTTCGCGGGCTGGATCCGGCCTGCCTGGGGCCGGGAGGGGATTGCAGATGAGAGAGATGAACCATGTGCTCTGGACCCCGTGTGCCCCGTCTCCTGCTTGTGGCCTCCTCGCCCGACTGCAAGCACACCACCTGGGCAGCCCGGGCCTCTTCCTGCCCATCTGCTGAGACCTCTCCCTGCCTGCCCGTCCACCTCCCCGCCCCAGAGGCTAGCGGTGCGTAGTCAGCGGCCCTGCCTGCCTGCCTCGGCCACTGCCGCTGCCCACTGCGCTGGGAAAATGGCTGCAGTCGCGGGCGAGGATGGGCCCGGCCCGAGGGACTTGCTGGCGCTGCAGCACGCCGCACCCTTGCCGCTGCCTCCAGGGAGCCCACCTCACCTCCCCAGGGCCTGCCTCCTGCTGCCTCCCCACTTGGCCATGGTTTGGCTTAGCGGGTGGCGTTGTGGTCTAAACCACTGGGCCTCTTGGGCTTGCTGATCAGAAGGTCCCCGCGATGGGGTGAGCTCCCATTGCTCTGTCCCAGCTCCTGCCAACCTAGCAGTTCAAAAGCACGCTTATGCAAGTAGCTAAATACCGTATTTTCCGCTCTATAAGAGGCACCAGACCATAAGACGCACCTAGTTTTTGGAGGAGGAAAACAAGGGGGGAAAAAAATATTCTGAATCCCAGAAGCCAGAACAGCAAAAGGGATCGCTGTGCAGCGAAAGCAGCGATCCCTCTTGCTGTTCTGGCTTCTGGGATAGCTGCACAGCCTGCATTTGCTCCATAAGACGCACACACATTTCCCCTTACTTTTTAGGAGGGGAAAAGTGAGTCTTATAGAGCAAAAAATACGGTAGGTACCACTGCGGCAGGAAGGTAAACAGTTCCGTGCGCTCTGATGCTTGTTGCAGTGTCTCGTTGTGCCAGAAGTGGTTTAGTTTTGCTGGCCATATGACCCGGAATGTTGTCTGTGGACAAATGCCTGCTCCCTCAGCCTGAAAGCAAGATGAGCGCCACAACCCCATAGTTGCCTTTTACTGGACTTAACCACCCAGGGTCCTTTACCTTTACCTGCAAACTAGGCTGGTGTCTTCCACCTGCACTAATCACCTTACCAATACTATGGACAGTTGTAGAACAAGCCATCTATTTGTTAAAATCAGTTAATTCAGAGGATAAAACACAGATCCTAGGAGTTATTTCGGCTACATACTGGGCTTTCCAGAGTCTTTGGTTTTCTATTGAATAGATTGATAATATGTTATTAGAAATCTCCATTACCACTACTTTGGAGATTTATAACTGGCCGCTAGAGAATTTAGACATAAACAAAGGTGTGATTTTTAGGGGAAGCGCAAAAATAGAAACTTAGATGGAATCCGTGTGTGTGTGAAGATTGGTTTGCTTATTTTTCAAATACTAAGCTAGAAGATTCCTTTATATTTTATTTTTCATACATTTACCATGTCTGTTCCAAAGAACTTCACACACCTTTTTCCTTCCTCATTCATATTTTTCCTCTAACCCTTACTGATTATTTTGTCGCAGTTAAATCTGTTGAAAGCTATAGCTTAGTCCACTTAGGATAATTATCTAGTGTTCTTTGTCACCTATATGAAATACCTATATGTCACCTATATGGACACACCTCTTCTTGTACCACAGAGTGTATGCAAACATGTTGTTCGCAAAAGCCAATCAATTGTTGTTGTTATTTGGAAAATACATTTGAGCAGTTTTCATACTTGAAAACTTCATAACAGTCAATAATAGAGAAACCAGAAAAGGCACACCCAACTTGGCTTTATAATAAAGATATGGCAGTTGTGTCTCAAACATCATCAGATAGTGTTACATCATCAATTGGGATGGCAGAGGAAAAAACATGCATTCAGAAAGACCCCATTTGGATTGGCAGAGCAAAATGCATGCAGACTTACTGCTCAAGTGAAATTGAGACATGTGGAGCAGAATTGTCTTTTTCAACGCCCCTTGTTTAATTTATTTTTAAAATAAATTTTATTAAGGTTTATAGAGAAAAATATGAAACTTAATATATTTTCCTTTATTTTAACCAAACCAAGACTTTTATCTAAATACAATACAGTGGTACCTTGGTTCTCAAATGCCTTGGTACTCAAACAACTTGGAACCCAAACACTGCAAACCTGGAAGTAAGTGTTCCGGTTTGCAAACTTTTTTCGGAAGCCAAACATGCTCCGTTTTGAGTGTTGTGCTTCCTTCTTGAGTGCCACACTTCTGTCTTGAGTGTTATGCTCACAGTTTGAGTGCCACACTTCCATTTTGAGTGTTACACTGAGGTCTCTCTGTTTTTGCTATTTATTTTGCATTTTTGTTTTTGCGGCTTTTTTGTTTTGTTTTTGTGACTATGTGGAACCCAGTTCAGCTACTGACTGATTGATTCTGCGACTGCAGTACATTGTTTACTGCTTTCATTTTATGGATCAATGGTCTCGTTAGATAGTAAAATTCATGTTCAATTGCTGTTTTAGGGGTTGTTTTTAAAAGTCTGGAATGGATTAATCCATTTTGCATTATTTTCTATGGGAAAGCATACTTTGGTTTTGGAATGCTTTGGTTTTGAAACGGACTTCCAGAATGGATTAAGTTTGAGAACCAAGGTACCACTGTAAAAATACAAAAAGGGGGGAAGGGTGAAAGAAATGGGGGGGGAGAAAAAGAACTTTTTTTTAAGAGTCAAAAAGAGGTTAAAAGAGAAAGATAGCAAAATAAGATTCAGAAAATAAACAACTCCCAGTTCTTCATCTGTCCGCTATATAAAAACAATATTCACTTCGTCCAATCCAGTATAACACCCAGCAAAACCGTGTGTGTGTGTGTGTTTGTGTGTGTGTATTTCATGCAAAAAGTCTATGAGAGGTTAATGATTAATTTTGTAGGAAGGACAAGGTAAAGCCTATATGGCCAGGTGAACGTTCTTCGGTGACAATTTTGGGCCAACAGTTCTCCATTCATACCTGAGGTGGGACTCACAGGCCAGAGACAGACCTTATTTTAAGCAACCTGGGACTCAGAAATTGCTTTGTTCTGGCTAAGGGAATGATTTCAGGCACAAGGAGAGAGAACGCTGTGGTATTTGGGCGAAGCACTGGAAACTTCGCTGTTGCAATGCAGCAAAAGAGCTCCTTTGGCTCCAATTGCGTTACACCATTTTGGGATTTGGTCCCCTCTCTTGACAGCTTTCGAAATCTCTTTACGTAATTAGCCAGTATTGAGAGTGACTAGTTTTATTTGGCTGTACTTTGCTAGCTGCCTTTAAATAAAATTAAGTACTCATTGATTTCAATGAGTGGCCTTCGCTGGAAATGAATCATTGTGGTTGACTGAGTTCAAAGGAAATGCCCACAAACATTAAGACTTTGAGAGGGAAAAAGTTTTATATAGCAACAAGCTCTTAGACCTTCCTGTATAGGTAAGTAATCTAGGAAGTGGCGTGGCCCGTAGCATATGCTTCGGATTAGCAATAACTGACAGTATCTTGGTCGGCAATCTTGCCTATTCTAACTCCACTTTACCTCTGTGAATTTGTATGGGGAAAGAAAATGGGAACAAACTTTGTTAGGGCCATATCCTCTTGCCCTTTAATAACCTGTTAGGTATGGCTCAGAAGTATTCAGCAAATGAATTTATTCCTCCTCTCCAGGAAGTTTGTGTCAACTCATTAAAAAATGTATGTGTGTTACCTTTGGCATGGACATCTGCCTCATTGCTGTAATTGCAATAAAAACCACGATGAAGGGCAGAAAAGATGGTAAAAAGTTTCCTTAAAAGTTATGCATCTGTCAGAACAAACTAACCTGCCAGGGACTCGTTACCACGTCCGGAGCTTACTCACAACAATATGTTTTCTCTCCTCTGAAAAGGAAATGAGATTTAGAAAACTTAATTATAGCAAGACCTAAGCACCCAGCCCTATTTCCACCCAGGCCAAAAAGCAAAGCACCATTAAGAAAAAGCAGGACCCGGGGCATGATTCTGGTTGTGTTGTTGGTTAATGGGAGACTTTTGCTAAAATCAAGATTTTGCTCCCAGGTACATAGGAAGACTCAACAACTGAAATTGCATTAGCCTGTGCTCCTCTCTACACAGTCCTGGTGCTGATCCAGATAATGCTCACATTAACAAGATTCTTTGCCTTTGAAGAGGGATTGATTCTTATACCTCTCTGAGAATTGTAGTTTTGTGAGGGAAATAGGTGTCTCCTAATGAAATATACTCAGAGTCGAGAGTGGATTTCATACTCTTTATTCAGCTCATAGTGGTGAGGAGGAATGGAAGTTCCCCCAGAATGTCTGCTTTATAGACATTATTTACACAATGGGCCCCACGTGATTGGCTAATTCCGGGATTCTCCTGTAGGCCAATCAGGTTGTGGATTCACTTCCACCTGGAGGACCAATCAGACTGCTGCATTCTGAATCCTATTGCTCTAGGACCAATCAGACTGCTGCATTTTGGATGAACTCTGAGCATCCTTAACAAACTGCATCTCCCTGAACTCTCTGGGGTGAAG